GGGGGGTGGGAGGAAAAACGGAAAAGGAAATTCCGGCTGAAAAATGTCAGCTAATACACTCAGTGATATAATGCGGGGCATAGACAATCCATTGAATGAAAAGCACACAATCTCTCACAAACGTGTCAAAAGACTTCATTGATCATGCCTCGTTTGTTATTGTAGCCCAATGATGCCCGTTTAAATATTTGAAAGCGTTACCTCAATTCCTTTCGAGATAAGTACCGGGAAAATAATTGTTGACACAATTAAGATAGATAATGTTTTTTCTGTCACAATATTTCATATGTATATTAGTGCACCAGATGTTTTGGTTTGGATAATATACAAGAGTGCGTGTATTTGGGGAGAGCCTTATATAATCCAGACCCTGTGTGCAAGTAGATACAAAGCTTGAACTCATTGCACATTACTAATTTGGGATTTAACTCTGGAAACGTGAGTTGTGACATCATCGTCATCAGCAGCATCATCACCTTCATCATCATCACCATCGTCACCATCATCATCATCATCATCATCATCATCATCATCATCATCATCATCATAGTTATCAGTGTAGAAGAGTGTAAAAAGAAGTGAAGACTTAGATAGTTTCGATAGATTTATGGTAGTTAAAACAGCCGTTAAACGTTTCGTTTAGCTCGTGGGGCGTCTTCAGGACCAAAATACATACAAATCAACAATGCTAGGCAACAAATGTGTTCACTAACTATCAAGAAAATCATCATCAAAATTATATTCATTGTTGTAGATCGAAGTATGATTTTTTTAAAAGAAGTTGGCGGAGACTTGAGTATTTCTGAATTTATGACTTCATAAAACGTTTTCATCGTTTCGCTATTTTGGACTTTATATTGTAGACTACAAAAAGACCCCCCAAAATGGCGGAGACTTGTAAGATTTTCAAAAATTGTATAGAACTACGTTCAACGGGGAGCTATCTTAGGGCTTCGCCAGGAACAGTAAAAAAAAAAATTAATGACTAGACAAGAACCGCACTATGGAAACTAATGTGCATATCACCTACTTGGATGCATACACATACGTCACAGTCACAATGGTGCGTGCGAGAAACATATTACATCGGAAAGGCCAAAGAAAGGGGAGGAAAACTATGGTAAGAAAAAAGTATTAATATTATTATGTCCCCCCCCCCCCTCCCCCTCCCCCCATCCAGGGCAGTAGCACTGACTGAAGTTGTCTTTACGCCATTCCAAAGGGGGAATATTAACATGTTCTTATACACAGTAGGGCTGTGCCCTTTCGACGTTACTATTCGAAATTCATGATTTTTGCACCATTCACAGCTATTCGAAGCGTGGCCGAGCTATTCGAATGCCGTGTGATTTTTTTTAAATAGATGATGGATTTTCGTCTCATTTTTCTCAAACGTAGAAACATTGAAGCACATGATAATGATATCTAAAATCATTAAGATAAATATACAGAAATACTCTTTATTTGATGGTTACGAGACAGGGTGATAAGAGGAGCCTACAAGAATTATTTTTAAAATCCTTTAGAGAATGTCTCTTACTATTCAATATTCACTCGCCACACTATGGACAGCTCAAGCAAGGGCACATGACTCTTTAAGCGCAGCGAATGTTTGTTTTTTTCCATGAAGTCAGCTGTCACAATGAGCTCCCCTAACCCTACTCGAAATTTGAAGCGCTATGAACTGTAACGTGATGTCAACACGTTGCACTGTCTGCGACAACAACACACTCGCGCTCAGTGACTGGCGGGCTTTCACAATATAAGGAAAAAAAACCATTCGACGGCACTGTGAATACCGGAAGTTAGATCTGGGCTTATCACATATAAGAAAATACGATTCGACGGCGCTTCAAAATTGCGAAAGTTAGATCTGGGCTTATCTTATATAAGAAAAAAACTATTCGACGGCGCTGTGAATACCGGAAGTTAGATCTTGGCTTATCATATATAAGAAAATACGATTCGACAGCGCTTCGAATTGCGGAAGTTGGGTCTTTGCCTATCACATGTAAGAAAAAAACATTCGACGGCGCTGTGAATAAGCAGCGAATGTAGAATAGAGGCACGTAGGTCTGGGTTTATGCTTAATATAATTTTTTTTTTTTTATCATTCTACTGAGGTATTCGAATGTCATGAATAGGGATCTCACGCTTCGAAGCTTCGATTATTTTTTCTTTCCTCGAAATCGCACAGCACTGGTTTGTAATAGCCGAGATAGCCTTCAGATGCCCCACCACCCCTTAAATTATGCCCCACAGGTAGGAAACTCTTCTCATTACAAATCTTGTTCAACGCTGAAGCCCGCTACACACAGGCAGTTCGACTCGCCGGATTCACTCGAATAGGCTGACCTATTAGTAGAATGTAAGGGCGAAAACATAGAGAACGCCGATTTCGGAGACTGACTCAGTAAGCGCCGATAGGTATAAAAATTCCCTTATGATTTCCAACTTGCCCCACATATAGCTGGCCGACTGCAGGCGGCTTTAAACTCGGATCGGCGTTGTCGGCTTTATCGGAATCCAAACTACATTCTTATTACGCCGAAAAAGTGGGAAGGGCGTCTCACTGTCAACTCGCGACCGCAGTGCTTTCTGTCGTATCTCCATTTTTTAACAGTGAAAAAAATGTGACTTCTTCTTAAGCTCACTCTTTGTTGTGAACTGCTTTCACTGTTATCAAAAATGGAGATGCGACAAGAAAGCGACGTCACCCGACTGGACAGGGGACAATTTTTAATGGCCATTTCAGAGCTGGTGCTTCACGGTAGACAAAAAACTAATTACATTTTTTAAATCAGCGTCGTCAAATTAGGGTGGTCTCTTAGCAGAATTACATTTTAAGCAATATTTTAGGAATTTCGATTTTTCTAATCCCCAAATAAATGCTTCATAAATACCACCTGTGTTGTGGTGTCATTTTTTCTCATATCTATATCTAGGCGGTAGGCGCCCTCTATGTGGAGTCAAGCAGACACCTACTACTGGCGCCTGTGAGCGTCGATCTCCAGCCGCTTAAGTTTCGGCGTTCTCTATGTTATCGCCCCAAGGTGCGTGTGGGAGTGGTTCGGACTGGTTAGGCTACAATGTCAGTTTGGCTGGCTTCAGTTCAACATCTTTTGGGGCTTGCAACAGGAAGGCGGCGTCCCCTTGATTTTTTTTTTCAGCCGGGAAGAAAATTGTAACATGGTAAAACACATTTATCATTCTGATTACAAAAATAATTATATTTTTGAACTAGCGTGTAAAAGTTAACAAAGTTTACGTGTACACTGCTCGATTTATTGCTTATTTACAACATTGTATGTTTCCTCATTTATTGTATTTGATAAGTTCAAGTGTATCTTTGATATCCATATTATGTTCCGCCACGACACAATGGAATGTTTTGCTGTCTACTTGCGCGGTGTGGATATACACCATGTTCCAGTTTAACTGACGCGTTCACTCAACAGTTCAACTCGAACAATTCTAACTGCAGGTGTGTAGTGGGAAAAGCAAGGGCAAAGAGAGGGGTTTACCGGAATACAAGGGGTGAGTAGTACTTTACGTGGTAAATCTGAACTTTTTGAAATGCGGCTTGTCAATCATCATGTTTAGGCCAATGAAAATTTGGTGAGACCCTAAGTTCCAAATCCACATTTATTCTCTTTGTAGGATTTTGGATCTCAATACCCTGAAGCTGCAGATCGAAGGCTCGATTGTGACCAGGACTTTTGAAATGTTGGCTGACTGGTGTGCAGGATTTTTTTTCTGTACTGAATGCCTGTAGTCATTGAATCTAGCTCTAAGGGTGATGGTAGTTTGACCTACATAAAGGGTTGGGTAGACTTTGCATTAGATGAGTTTAATAGCGTTTTTCGTTTCAAAGGTGATGCTGTAAGAAAGATTTTTGTTTTAAAATGGGGCCTTCTACGAAGTTGGTCGCTTTCATGCATTATCGTCATCATCATAATCATCATCATCATCATGCTTTTCTTTTAATACATTTTTTTTTTAAATTGAAAGTGAATAGGTGGTTTGTATTCCATCACCTCTTCTTTTAACCTTGTTTTATACCCTACCCACAGCTTTGTTTTCCCACAGATTCTAGAAAGCGTTTTTTTGCCGTTGTAACTTTCCCAAGCCTCATTTGATTTCTCAGCACCAAGATGGCTGAGATCGGAACGACTTTAATCGCAGCTGACTACATTGTCGTGGTGGTAATGCTGTGCGTGCCATTAGGGATAGGCGCTTTCTACGCGGTCAGAGACAAGAAATCTGCTACGAGAGAGGAGTACTTGTTAGGTGGTCGACGAATGGGGCTCTGGCCTGTCACCCTGTCGTTGTTTGTCACTTTTCAGGTGGGTCCGGGGGGGG